ATCCAACAGGTTGCGCTGCGGGGATCAGGAGTGACGCTGCGCGCCCCCGACGTGCAGAGAGCGTGCGCCATATATGGAACTGTCGCTTTGACCTCCCATCGAGCCCCGCAGTCCCACCTCGAGGGCCGTATAAGGAGCGCGCGGGCCACTGGGGGGTTTCTAGGGGAGACGCCAGTTGCTACCAAGCAGGGTTATGGATTTGCTGCTAGTAGGCCTCATCCAGCCTTAAAATGGGAAAATGCTTCCCTCATCTGAACAGATTTAGGCCTCAGTGAGAGCCAGGACCTAAACTACGGGTCAAACAAGGAGGCTGCTGCCAAAAGTGCCAATTAAGAGTTCAATTTTCACTATGGTGCCCAATAGATCACTCAGGATGAGCTGATAAAAGCTGAAGAAGGACGTTCTGTATGTAAACACGTTGACATGTGCTTCATTATTCCACTCATGAAATCACAATAATACAAGTTTCATTTGACTACTTGTAATTAATTGCATTAAACCCTGTAGCCTGAGTGACCTTAACTTACATAAAGTTGAACTCAACAAGAAAACTGGAGGATTTTTTCGTACCGATACATATTAAGTGTGTTTGCTCACATCTGCAGACTTAACCGAGACATGTTATTGAAGAATATGCACAGAATATCTCACTGTTCAGCATGAAGACACTGCAAACTGCTTCTATTCTACTTGCACACCCGCTAGTTTTATCCATGCACATTAGCAACCAATTACTCCCCGAATCTGCTTTTCTGCAGACCACATGGCTCCAGATTCACACAAATCGGCGTGAGTTCTAACAGCCAACAGCTGAAACCTTATCTGTCGGGGCTACTCTGCTCTGTCACTGGAGCAGTTGGATTAATTATAACTCAAACGGAGGAGGGGAGCTGGTGCATGTGTGTGTGACAAATGGGGAGGGTGTGCACATGCATGCACATGTATGTTAGAGTGTGTTGCAGCCTGACGGACCAAAAGGAGCAGAAGAGTCCAGTCACCTTTTAAATCATATGGCGCGTTGAAATCAGAAGACGCACACCCCAAGTGCTTCCAATTTGAAACTAAGAATTATTAATACATATCTACATGATTAAAGCAAGTAAAAAGGGCAAGTTTATATTAAATAAATTAATAGGAGGTACCGAGGTGAGAGTAAACTGAAAGGAAGTGATGATTAAAGAGATGTAGAGAAAAAAAGGACAGATACATGATTTGTTGTACTACACAATGAAACACAGAAGAGGAGACACAAACCGCCACGAGTTGAGGAATCTCTCATGACACCTGGAGACAACTGGAGAGTCCTTACAGAAAGCAACACATGCCGCAAGGACAGAAAGCAGAAAACAGGACAACAAAACTGTGACACAAATACACAATCAGAGCTTTTAAGTTCAAGCTGCATGTTGACTTTTGCTTTCTAGATGCTAAAAGTGGATGTTGCTTATGTACAATTGATTAAAAATAATGTAACAATGTTAGAATAACTAATTCCCTAATAAAACACCCTCACGCCAGTCAACATGTGACCTTTAATGAGCAGCTTCAGCAGTAGTTGGATATGACACCTTCACTGCTTGCATAAATGTAGATCTACATCATGTAAAAGGCCCTGATGGAAGAGAGAAATGTTTTCACACCGTCTTTAATCAGGCAGAGTTAAACTACATTGATTGAACCATCATGTTTTCAGCATTTTTCCCTGAATTTGCAATTTTAGCAGCACCAAAACCTTCTGAGGGGGGAACCCTAATACCTCAGGAAAAAAGTAGGACAAGAGGAGGGAGGGTGAAAAAATCTTCGAAGTCTTTGTGGATGGGAGCGAATGGGTAGGGCCTTCTTGGGCGCAGGCCGAAAGTAGTGAGAGTGTGGATTAGGGAATGTGTGAGTACGTGGGGAGGGGGGCGTGGGGGCCGCAGAGCAAGGTTGCGCTACTTTTATGCACTTGTTGTGAGCCGTTTTGGATCCGAGGGCCTGTGAAACGCCTAAAATGTAAAGGGGCTGGCAGTTGTTGGGGAGCGAGCGAAGGAGGGAGGAGGTGAGGGGAGGTCAGGGGGGCCGAGGGGGAGGAGAGTGGAAGGAGTCTGCCCGGGGAAGGGGGAGGAGAAAGAGGGGAGGTGAAAGGGCGTGCGTGGCAGGTGGCAGAAAACAGGAGGTTAGTTTGTCCGAAGATGTCTAAGCAAGAAGCCAGCTGAAGGAAGACTTTGGAAAAGGAGATTTTTTTTTTTAATGTTTTGAAATGCAGTCAGAGGGATCACCAGCACATTTTAGCAAGTGACTTTTCAAACAGGGCAGTAGATTTTTTTTTTATTTTTCTATTTTGTAGGAGCACGCTCAGTCATTCTAACTGGCTACGTATTCAATTAGGTTTTCTCCTCTGCTCTCCTGAGAGCACAGAGGGTGAGCGTGTCACAGAAAGTGTAAGAATAGCACAAGCGCCGGCATTCAATAGCTGGAACCAATACTCTCGCTCGTACATGAGAGTCCTACCTTTTAAAGTGCGACAGCGTGCTCAACATGTACAGTAGGCTTTTTGTTTTTTTTTAAAGAGAGAGCACACAGAACATCTGAGCGGAGGTTTAAATCAGTTTGTTATCTATGTGTTGGAGAGTGGCTGAGGATACTGTGGATGTTGTAAATGGACAGGTAAAGCTTAGAACACCTAACACAATTGATTAAATCTCAGCTGTTTAATCAATTCCTATTTTCAATCATTTTGTTATTTCAGTGGTGGTGGGGGGGTGGAAACAAGGGGGGGAAAAAATCAGATTTTTGCTGAGTTGGCATCGCTCACCAACGCTCTGAATGAGGATAAAGAAGACAGAGTGTTTGTGGTTGATGCCTCGGCGTAGACAGACAGAACTGGATGCACATCCCCTGATCGATGGGAATCAGTTCTAAAGTGGTGGAATGTCCCGTATCATGACAGCCAAACTTTCTTTAAATAAAGTTTGCTTTGCTTTCCAGGCCTGAAGACGTTGCCCTCTGCTTCCTCAGCAGAGTTTCCAACCATGGTGTTGTTTCATGGTTGAGGTGGACCAAAATGCAGCATGATGCATCTTTGTCCAGGTTGCATATTCCCATTGGGTTTGTGTTCTTATTTTATAAACATATAAGGCTCTACTGTATGTGCTGCTTTCAAGTGATAAATAAAGACTTGGAATATTGTTGCGTAAGACCGAGAAGGGTCAGAAGCTCTTTTCCTGTAGTTCCTCAAATAGCAGCTCCAGAGAGAAGCGAGGGGAGCTGCAGCACATGGAGTTGGAATTGGAAACTTGTGCAGGGCTGAGCGGCACCTGGTCTCCTGCATGAGCACAACTGCTGGCTCCGCCACCTGGTTTTAAGGAGAACACCACTTCCTCGTAAAGCTTAGAGGCATCGCAGTGAGAGAGCGAGAGAACGATCTAAACAGATTAAACTTAGTCCTGGACTAAACTGACTTCTGTTGGAAGATTAAAACGTTTAATCCAGGATGAGGCTTAATGTGTGAAAGCATCCCTCAGAGTTTAGGTGTTTGACTTTGGATCCTCTGCATCATATTCTGTAAACAGAAGTCCAAATTTACCACTGGTGAGCATGTCTTCACTCAGTCGTATGAATAAGTAGAATTCATACAATATTTCTGAGCTGTTTCTTGTCTCCTCTGCACTGTTCTGAAATCACTCTCCAATGACAACAAATACAGAAGTGACCATTTCGAACAATCCAAATCAGCTGATGAGCACTTGTTTAGTCTTCCACTGCCTCCAGGGTGCAACAAACTCACGCAAGGATAAACTCATTGACTGCGTCCACTTGCTGCTATGTGCCAGCGGAGTCTATTTGCAGAGAAGCTCACGACAATGTCAACACAACCTACCAACAGCTGAATACACATTACTCATATCATTACCACGAAGTTATATTTTGGTATGACGGGACTGGATGAACACTGATCCCAACGACCTGCAGTGATCACCTCAGAGCCTGGGATGGAGCTCAGTGCGTGGAGCAGCAGCGCCACCTACTGTTCAGTGGTAAAATGGTTACTGTACAGTCGTCCTCACATGTATTCAGACCCTTCCGTTAAAGAAAAGGCAAAATTCACAATAGTTACTCAAATAACTAGAAACTGGAAAAAGTAATAATAAATAAAAATTTGCTAAATTATAATTTAGTGAAGTAAGACATTGATTTTGAATTGTGGTTGAAAAGAATAATTTAAAAAAAAATATAAAAAATTTGACATGGACAAATTAGAGCACTGATGAGCAGTGATGAGCCAAAATCCAAATACCTGTCTACAGGTGCAGAAATCTGATTGAGAGTTACAGAAAACACTTGATTGGCTCAAAGGGTTGTTCAACAAGATATTAGTTTACAGGTCCCATCATGCTTGTTCGTTTGTTTTTGTTTTGTTTTGTTTTAAATATATTTCTGTTGAACCACAATTCAAAAGCAATGTCATGATTTTCATTACATTTTTATTTATAATTCCATCCATCCATTATCTATACACCGCTTAATCCTCACTAGGGTCATGGGGGCGCTGGAGCCTATCCCAGCTGACTCACTTAGAGACAGACAACCAAGCACATTCACACCTACGGACAATTTAGAATCACCAATTAACCTCAACATGTTTTTGGACTGTGTGGGAGGAAGCCGGAGAACCCGGAGAG